TGTACGACCAGATGCATACAGTGCTAACACCGCTGGTGCATTAAAAGACTCAAACATGATCCGTGTCATTTCACGGTTTGCTTTCAGGTTCAATGAAGCTTCTGTCAAGAACACTGGATGTTCATCTGTCGTCAATCGCAACTCGTCGTAGAATGCATGGTACAATATCTTCTCCATAGCACACCACTTAGTCACAATAACATGTTCGATTTGGTACTTCAGTGTGAAGATACCACGTTTCGATCGAGCGTCGTCTACTACATGACTGTCCTTTTGATCCATTCTCCCCATCACTCTTTGATGTCTAGTTCCTCCAACAATAGGGGGATACGGCTCTAGAAGCACCATCTTCAGTGAAGCCAGCTTTACACATACCAGACCCATTGTTGATTACAGAGGCAGCAACGTTTTCCTCAGCCACTCCTCTAGCTAAAGGAACAATTTTGTAACTTTCACCAAAGTAAGCATCGCGAGCTACTATGCTAATTACGTTTGAATCATTCAGAGACAATGATATATAAGCGAAACAGTCGTCAGCAAACTTATAGTTATGCGCCACAGATACATCAATTTGAAAAATATAATTTACAATCCTTTCCCCATGTTTGTTGTGACCTGCTGAGCCAAAACGAAGCCATCCTAGCAGTGTTCTAACAGCATAAGGACCCTTTCTTTCTCCTAACCTTTGGTCCAGTGCCCAACGAGCTTCAGGCACGTCACAACCAATAAGCAACATAACTTCACCACCCACTAATTCTAACCAAGGTAAATCAATAATATGGGACCATTTCTTAAAGCTGTCCTTCACAGGTTTTTTTGGTTTATGCACCGGCAAATCATCTACTACAATACATATACACTCGTCTCCGCTTAATGAGTAGGCTTTAAAGGCCTTGGTTTTCGATCTCGTGAACTTATTTCCAATCACCGTTTCGATGATAATCGACTCACTCTCTGACGATAAACCTGAAAGCCGTACGGTACTTGACTTCATTAGGGTTGCATTCGAGCCATCGTCCACAAACTTCCTCATCCCCAGCTCTAATGTGTACAGAGATTAAACAAAGAGTCTGTGTACCCACAATGACTTTCTTTCAACCGCTCACTAGAATCACCTTGGACTTGAATGGGTTTATGCAACAATGGGTGATGCCAACCCTGGCAACCTTCGATAGTACACATAACACGATCAGTACAATCCACTGATCTGTGGCCCCTTCTGAGACAACAAAAACACAAACCTTTATCTCTCGCATTCACCCACTTATCGTTGACTGATAATGTAGAGAACTGGGAACATTTATCAATCTTATGATTTCCTCCGCGTATAACACAAGGTGACTTGCTTACAATTTTACCGAACGACAACCCTTGTGTGCAACAGGCCACTCTGATTATAACCCGTTTATTAGCTTTTGCAATCTGCCTGAATCTGCTGAGTAAAATTTCTGCTCTAGATGATACAAATTCTGTTAACTAGGCGAAAGTACGCTCTCTTCCATTTGCTATTATCTTTCCGACTGTTTCAGCCCATTTCATCTGTAAAGTCGTGGGCAATTTCTTTAATATACCTTCTATAGTTACTACAGAGTTGAGATCCGCTGAATAATCCATTTGTTCTGAGGCTATAGAGCAATCTTCCACCTTTATCGCTAACCTAGGTGGACTTTCTCCGTCGTTGTGTTCTATATTGTGACCTTCAGTCAAGTCATTTAGAAAATATCGGCTTACTTCTTCTGTCCTACCAAACAACCGTTTCAATATAAAGCATGCTCTACCATAACCTGATTATGGTGGGAGCATAATGCATTCTTCTATGGCCTCTCAATTCTTTCCTTTACAATAACGTAACAAGTACAAGAGCCATTGACAATCGTCTTTGTTAGGTTTTGAAAGAGAGAGACAGCTATCACGGGTTCACGTAGTTTGAGAACGAGATAGAGGATTCGGTGACCAAGGACCAGTAAGCTATCTATTGACGCGTCCCAGCCCCGCTATCTAGAGTGAGAAGACCAAGCTTAGAATGAAAGTATATTCTGTGACAACCAGAAAACCAGTGTAGTGGCATTGAGCCCTACCACGAGACAATATGAGAAATATGCATTAAACATTTAACGCGGAGAAATACAGAAGGATGGAGAAGGCGGGAATAATAAATTGAATTAGTCCGAGTTCATCGGATGGCATGGCTTGGCCTTGCAGGCGTGGTCCCTGCTAAATGTTACGTTATATCTTTTGTTCATATTAAATATATTGTTCCATCTCTAGCCTAAGTTTGTTCTCTATCACGTATTGGTAATTGTTACAATGCAATGAATCGGTGTAGACGATAATGTAACTTCCACGTAAGATCTTATAGATTAGGCAGTTACATCATGATAAATCTACAATTTTAGGATTAGGCCTATTATTAGAGCAGTGCTAATATCATAGTAGACCATAATTCTACACCAGCAAACGTTTTCACAAAGACAATTTTAAAACGTATATATACAAATATATATACATCGATATTGTCATGGAGCTTTGAAACATTTAATCGATAGTTCGTCAATTGACTGCCATCGAAATATTTAAACATTTAATCGATAAATTCGTCAATCAACTATGTGCGTGGGTGGTAAGAAATGCCCACGTATACATCTGCATACAAGCTCCACAAGATAAATTACAAACTATGAGTTTTTGGGGATCTACCGTCCCCAACAGTCTTCGACCTTGGATAGCACATATGACTAGAACTGCCTGAAGAATTCCCATTATTTGGCTGGTTGCTCATCAAAAGTACTTTGTTCTACTTTTGGGAGCTCAAGACCCACACTTGAAGATGCCATGAGCACTTCCCTCTTCTTCGTTCCTGGATAGTCCAACAGTTTCGACTTTACTGGGGACTTGGTTCTCATGTCATGAGAACGGTTTGCGAAACTGTGAACATACTCCTGTCCTCTGTCATCACAGTTGGAGGCAGAAGATACTTTACTATACACGTTCTCTTTTAGTCTTAGAGACACTCACTCCCTCTGAAGGCACAAAAACTGCTTCCTCTGCCAATCTTTCAAATCTCTCATCTCTACTAGTTGTTTTTCCCTCAACTGCTTTTCTTTTAACTCTGCTAGGGTGGTGCTAGAGCTAATTTTGCTGTGCTTACTTACTAAACTAGTATTAAAGTCATGACACGAAGATGTATCAAAAGAAACTTGCCGTATATCAGGAGGCGCATCTGACTGCATTTCTTCATGACCCAACATGAGGTTTCCGTTGATCTTGTTGCGCTTGCCAGGCATTGCAGTGTTTGTCAATAGTAATTACTGTTTATTTGAGAACTGTAACGACCTAACTGCTAGTATTCGCTCTGAACACTGGACTGACAAACCAAAATGTATACAAATAATAATAGTAATTTATTCTCAAATAACAGTTTGTTACATGAGGCATGCCAGTTTACAGGCAAGATCAAATTGTTACAAATGATACATTTTACACTGTTGTAAACTACTCAGCTGGGTTGGTAATTTATAAGATATGAATGTAGATGTTCATAGTCACTATCACAGTTGGCGCGCTTCATGAGTGTCGCGTTGCGAAATGCGACTGATGTACGATAATAGATTCATGTGAAGTTGAGGGCTTCCAGAAATCGCAACCTTATATCCCTTTGGAATATCTGAGGCTTCAAGGATGGTGCAGGACGAGGTCACCCGTTCCGTATCTCAAGGGGGCCAAGAAATGGTTCAAGAAGAAAAGGAAAAAAAGGACGAGAAGGAGAGCAGACAATGTTCATGAAGGAACACCTAAAATATGACTACTCAGTCTAATTCTCTTTTATTAAAATGTTTATTAAGCAGGAGCATTCTAATAGATTAAAGGAAATAAGTTTAAACAATGTATGAGTGGATAAACAACTTACAAATGGAGGTGGTTCAGAAAGTCTTATGGCTAGTAAGTTGGTGATGTGATTAAGACAAGTACTTTTAACAATACATGTAGGGTAGACTTTGCTAAAATAATGCGAAAAAGTATCGGCTTTTGCCTAACCTGTTTCAGCCAGTAACACTGACGGAGGAATACCATCACTACGTTTTATTCTTCGTTTAACGTACGAAAACAGTCGTTCCGGACAGGTACGCCCATCATACGTCAACCATCCTTCGTAAACAGTACAGCTATGGTCTTTTTACATATATTCCGGATACTTTAGTATTCACGCTTAAATGATTCGTGTCCTGTTGTCAAGAATAAGTCACAGAAGTCTATCCTACGCTTTAGCAGCTTTCGAGTCTCCTTATTAATCCATGGTGAGTGATGTGGTAGCTTACGTGTTGACCATGGGATAAACGGTAATGTTATAGACTCGAATGTAGCCATGATCTTATACCATTCGTCTTCGATCGATCGATCCATCAACATCAACCGACCAGTCAATCGAGATGGCAAAGTCTCTGATTGCCGGAACATTAGCTCGCAGGATGTAGAGACGGAGTGGAGCGGTTACATATTGTGTACCATTTGTCTGAAACTTAAAGTGAAATATAACGTGGTCACTTTTTACTAGTGGGAGAAGGTGCTGAATGTCGATGACATCTTCCCAGAGTTGTGTAAGGACACGGTTCAGAAATGACGAATCATGTTCCAAGTCAACATGTGTTAGTTTTGCGATACGCTGTACAATAGTTTTGGTGGAATTAATCCATAACAGCAAAATCAAAACACAGAAGTACAATATCACTTTAACTGAAATAAATCCATTTAAAGTGTAAACGGTAATCTTGAAGCGTAATTTACGATCAAAACATTAAATGCTACTCAACGAGGAATAATACCACACTTCATATTTCCGACGTCCTAAAGACATAAAATGTTGTGTTTTTAATCATGTACACCTACTGATTGGACACTGAACAGAAAAACAACTGACTCTAGTTTCTTCTGGTCAGTTGTTTGGTTACACTAAGACTCAGGGTCTATGGCAATGTCTTGGCGGTCGTTTAGTATTCTGACTGATGGATCAGCTGTATCGGATTGATGAACTCCCCAGTGTAGATGAAGTTTTCAAGAATAGTTATGAAGTTTACCGGAATTACTCGCTCGATGTTTTAAAGTACAAAGAATTTTGTCAGTATGGACTTGCAGAAAGCATTGAAAAAGTTCACGAATGGTGTATTCATCTCCAATGTTTGAGTCCCTCTGATCCATGCTCCCCGATGAGTGGTGCGGAATACGAAAAAAGGTATAGGCATTCTTAGTTGATCAGTTGAGAATTTCTTATGTTTTTGTGACGTTTTAATACCCCAATCTCCTTATTTATGGGAAAACTGTGTGTTTTGGGTAAATCTTAGGGAAAGCTGCAATAGATAACTTTGGGGAAATGGCACGAGAACCCTCAAAGTTTTGGAGAAATCCCGAAAATGTTTGGGGAAATTTTGGGTTTTCCCATTATTTCTCCGGAATCTTAAAACACTTTCAGGCATTTCATGATTTTTGGGAAAACATTAGGATTTACTCAAAATTCCCCAACGTTTCACAGAAACAAGGAAAGTGGGATCCCAAATGTCCCAAAGATAAGCACTCATGTTTCTGTTTTAACAGTACTTTTTCATATTGAAAGCGAATTTTCGAGAATTTATACAAATTAATATAGTGCCAGAACCTCTCGATAACATTGTGTTAACACTATTAGAGGTTTGAACTTCAACTGATTTTTACTACTGGGCAGATATGCAGACGGTGGATGCCTGTAGATATAGGGCATTTTTGACTTGGTTTGAAATAATGGTTTGTCTCTATGATATCTGTCGTAAATTAATGCATAAGATGGTGGATTATAAGTAGGTCTTTACGTGACTCGTAACCAGTGACCTCGTAAATGATCCTTTGAATATATTAAACCATGTTTACCTGAGTATGGTTACAAGAATGAAGTCAATATATCTACTGTAACGTGAGTTGTAATACTATATCTAGACGTCGCACATCTCCATAGTCATTCATTTTCAAACATGATGACAAGTTTTGCCCACTCAGTAAATCTGCCTCATTGTGATGTGGTGCCGAAAACACACGTATCAATTAATAAATCGTAGTTTGAAAAACAATTTCGCCTTTTTGGGAACTGTTACTAACACTACTGGTCAATCGAACGGTGTTTTTCTAAACTAAGTACAGACCTACCTAAGCAAAGCTGACGTGACTTTCCTTTCATAAGTATACACTTCGGCTTCGTTTACTGGTCATTTTTATGCAATCAGGACTTAATTCCGAAATATACAGGAGGCTAACAGTACTTTAATTTATTTGAACGTTTTGTTAGTCATGTACACGGAGAGCGTCTAATTCAAAATTTTGTAGTCTTTTTCTGAATTATTTGTTACTGGGTGACATTTCAAAGCCAAAAATTTTGTTTATCGCTATATCATAAGGTACTCATGTTGCTTGTAATCAGCATTATAAAGATCGCGAACCCAATCGAATCGTGGGTTACTTTATGAAACGTTGCGAAATTCATGAACGGTTTTAGTTATTGCTACTTATTGTGTGCTTGACTAATGAGTTCAACGACTTATCACATTCTAAAGTGCACTAGTTTGAAAAATAATATTGAGTCCGCTTGGATAAAATCTTTCACTAATATTTCTCCATAGTGCAATTCATTGTTTATACTACTGTAGTTATGACAATCAGTTTGTTTGTCACACAGGTATCAATATTTTTGTCATTTATACTACAAATTTGGCATGAGTTCATTATCTTTTTCAAAGTTGCTTAAAAAAACGCACCTAAATTTATGCGTAACATTATCAAGCTGATCGATTAGTTAATAAATGTGATCCAGCATATATAGTAGCGATTGGTCTTACATTATTTAAGGCGAAGTGTTCTTATTTTAATGTTATTTTAGAAAACTTAACACTTAAATTCATACCAGTTGACTTCTCAACAGTCATCATTGGAGTTTTCACTAGTAATATAAAACAACAAAAGAACTATGATATAGCCGAAAACCAATTATTCAAGTAATGGCACCTCAGTATCATTGTATGGTAACAGTATAGTCACAGAATGATTCTCATTATCACACCTTAGATTATCAAGATGCCAAGTCAACATGGGATGCACATCACTATAAATGCTGTAGCTTGGATTACTCAGATAACGGACACTGTAAAGCACACACTAATTTTATACACATAGACCTCTTTATCATCTTGCAGAGAACAAGAACAAAGATTCTAGCGGAATGGGATGAATTCATTTTATATGATTCTCGTTAGCTGAATACAACCTGTGGTATTTAAAATCATAATTACAAAACGGGTTTTAATTATTTGCATGAAATAGTTTAGTTTGAAGTTATTTTGAAGACACATCAATATAGTTTAGCGAAGGTGTAAATAAGTTTGATAGACTGAATAAAATATCGATATATAATTTATGTAAAACAGAGTTTCATAGTACTGATTGTAACAACAGTTCAAAGGTCTATGCTTGTTAATGTAAGATTATAAACACGATCGTTTTCCATTAACAATCAAGTCCTAGACATTCAATCAGCATTCGTTTCTGTTCTAATAATTAGTGTTTTCTTACATATCTTGACTGACGAAGTGATCATCATGTTCCTTATGAAAATGTCCCTTTATCTTATTTCCTCTTGTTTATACTTTATTGCTGAACAGACATATAGGATTAATTACTCCATCCACTTCATCATATCTTAACGTTAGTTCACTAGTAGAGGAATCTTTGCCAAATTCTTCATCAATATCGGTTTTTAACTACATGCAACATATTGGGAATAATATAACTGGATGTTATGATGATTATATATGTGATAAGCAATATAATAGTTATCCAAATCATTGCATTTTGGGTGTTGTCTGTTTTACTTTGTGCTTATGTGGAATTGTAAGCAATGTAGTTCTTTTCCCAGCTTATAACTTTGGATTGAATCGTTCTGGAGCTACTGTTTATTTGAGTGCAATGGCAATATTTGATTGTGTTTTTATGGGGTTATCATTATTAATTAATGTTATTCACTATCTACCACCTTCATTTATTGAACAAATGGAAATGTATGGACAATTTTCTGGTTACTTGATTCCATATGGCCTACCTGTCATACAAATATGTGAACTGTTAGTTGTAAGTTATAATTAACTTAATAAACTGATTTTAATTAGAAATATATCTCATTATCTAAGTAAAGGCACATGTGCTAGGATTTAAACTACTCGCGTTAGATGACAGTCTGGACACTATTTAGCTGCTCATCTTAAATGCCTAGTATTCTAAGTATCCTGCGGGAACAAATGGCGTATGAACCAACTTTTGGTCACCGGCTTCCATGGGACTGCATCTCCTCACGATGCTCCACTGCCTTGTGGACTAGACCTTTAGGTCAAAGGCTCGGGGTGTGGCCCCCTAAGAAAACCACCTGCTTCGGTCTGGGCACCCGGGCAGTATCCCAGCCCACTCACTAAAACTATGATGAACTATATGCTTATAGAAAGTATTCGTTTCTCTCCAACTAACATTGAAATGACTGGTATTATTATTATTACTATTATTATTATTGTTATTATTATTATTATTTACTACGTCATTTATTCACTATCTCCTATTTCTACTTTTTGTATCCGCTTCGACTCAGACAGCAGCTCGCCTATGGTGAAAATTCAGCTTTATCTAAACGTTCTCGAGTCACTGCCTGGTTGAAAATTGTATGTTACTACCGAATATGAGTACTGAAGCAGTTTTTCTGAAACCACGTGCACCATTCAAACTGGCTGCCTTTAACGTTCGCACACTTATGCAGGTCGGACAACAGATAGGGCTGGCTATGTCTTTGGAAAGTCTTAATATTGACGTTTGCTGTCTATCCGAGACCCGTATTCAAGACTCTGGTAAAGTACTACAAGTTCGCTCTCCATCTGTCACTTCAAAAAGCTTGTTTTATGTGCATTTATCCGGGGACCCTGTGGCATCTTCGTCTGGTCTTGCTGGCGTTGGTGTCGCACTAAGCGCAAGAGCTGAGGCAGCACTAGTCGACTGGATCCCCATTAACAGTCGGTTATGTGCTGTTAGATTAGAAAGTTCCATCAAAGTGAGAAGAAATAGGCGTGAGAAACGATGTCTTTTCGTCATCTCCGCCTATGCCTCGACAGATCGCAGCCCGGATGCAATCAAGGACGAGTTCTACCATCAGCTAACTGTTCTTCTCCAGAAAGTGCGTTCGACAGATATTGTAGTACTAGCTGGAGACTTGAATGCTCAGGTCGGGCGTCTAGGCACAGAAGAGAGTCGTTTAGGTGGCCGATGGGACTTGTTGGTCGCAGGACACATAACGGGGAACGTCTACTGCAGCTATGCACAGACCACAACCTGTTTCTGGCTAGCACTAACTTTCGGCACAGTCATCGCCGATGTGCCACCTGGCGTCCCCCTTCTGCATCTTAAGCCTGGACTCAGATTGATCACATCGCGATCAGCTACCGCTGGCGTGGTTGTGTACAAGACTTCCGCTCCTTTTGGAGTACCTATCTGGAATCTGATCATGTTCTGGTCTGTGCCAATCTTACCTTACTTTTCAGTGGACAACGAAATGACCGCCACCAAAGGATTGATGTTAGCAAGCTGGCTGCAACTTCTGTTGCTAGTAAGTACCGAACCGAGCTAGCTTCTAGGCTAGCTACCATTCCACCGAAAAGTATAGATGAGCATTGGTTGCAATTGCATAACGCCATGAAAATGGCGGGTACAGTCTGTTGTGGGTCTGCGAAACGTCCCGCTTATAAGCACTGGGTTTCTTCTGGTTCCTTACAACTGATTGAAGCCCGTCGGTCTACTCCGGGTAACCGTGAGTTTGACCACAGACGAAGGATATTACGTAATGAAATCGGGCAAAGCTTGCGTAAGGACCGAGAAGCCTGGTGGTCGGAGTGTGCCAGTGAGTTGGAAGCAGCAGCTGCATCCGCTAATTACCGGAAGCTCTTCCAACTCATCCGAGCCACTGGCAGCAAGAAGTCTGGTGTGAGCGAAACAATCTGCGAGGATGACGGAACGCCAATAACTAACATCCATCGACGTCTTGGACGATGGGCGGAATTCTTTGAAGGGCAGTTCAACTGGCCTGTTGCTCCGGCAACATCGGTCAGACTGTCCTGCCCTCCATGGCCGGTGACGACTGATCCACCAAATGAGGCGGAAGTCCGCAAGGAACTCCAACTCTGGGAACTAGAGAGTGTACCAACGTCATGGAATGAGTCGATAGTTGTCCCTATCTTTAAAAAGGGTTCACGTTGTTCCTGTAACAACTATCGGGGGATAAGTCTACTTCCGATTGCGTCCAAGCTATTGGTTTCCGTCATACTTCGTAGGTTGTTCAGAACCCGAGAAGGATTGACTCGCGAGGAGCAGGCTGGGTTTCGTTCTGGTCGAGGATGTATTGATTATATCTTCATCCTCCGCCAAGTGTTAGAACACCGCCATACTTATCAAAGGCCAACAATCGTAGTGTTTCTTGATATCAGGGCCGCCTTCGATTCGTTGGACAGAACTGTTCTCTGGGATTGTCTATTGAAGAAGGGTGTGCCTGAGAAGTTTATTAACATCCTAAAAGCTTTATACACAAACACCTCAGGCAGAGTGAGGGCATACAACCACCTTTCTCCACTATTCCATTCGAGCAGTGGGGTTAGGCAGGGTTGCCCAATCTCACCATTCCTCTTCAACTTTGCCATCGATGACATTCTGGAAACAGCTCTGACGGATGTAAGTAATGGTGGTGTGGATCTGTTGCCTGGAGAAAGACTTCTCGACCTGGAGTATGCGGATGATATTGTCTTACTGTGCGAGAATGCCCAAGCCATGCAATCCGCACTTAATCAGTTGGCAATCAGTGTCCGTAGGTATGGTATGTGCTTTGCACCTTCGAAGTGCAAAGTACTTCTACAAGACTGGCAGGATTCTAATCGTGTACTCACTCTGGATGGTGAGCAGATTGAAGTAGTCGAGAAGTTCGTGTATCTAGGTAGCTGCATAAGTGCTGGTGGTGGTGTGAGTGATGAGATCAATGCACGTATAGTGAAAGCCAGAGCGGCTTATGCCAATCTGGGCCATCTTTGGCGCCTTCGTGATGTTAGTCTGGCTGTAAAAGGTCGGATCTACAACGCGACGGTGAGAGCAGTTTTGCTCTATGCTTGTGAAACCTGGCCTCTCCGAGTTGAGGATGTTAGACGACTCTCTGTGTTCGATCATCGCTGTCTCCGAAGGATTGCTGGCATCCAGTGGCAACACCATGTCAGTAATGCAGAGGTTCGGCATAGAGTGTTCGGTCACAGAGACGATAATGAAATTGGTGTCACCATCTTGAAACACCGACTTCGGTGGCTTGGACATGTTTTACGAATGTCGTCCCAGAGAATTCCACGTCGTGCATTATTTGCCGACTCTGGGACTGGTTGGAAAAAGCGGAGAGGTGGTCAGTATATGACATGGTGTCGTGGTATGAAAGAAAGCTGCAAAGGGCTAGCTTCTGTTGGTCCTTCACGACTCCCTGGTTGGGGTCCGAGAGACGGTGTAACGCAGTGGCTAGAGACGTTATCAGATATGGCTCAGAATAGAAGCCAGTGGCGATCGTGCTGTAACCTTCTTTTACTTTCTTCATAAAAAGTGGTTGTATCTTCCTTAACTGAAAGATCTCTTCTGATTGTACCTTTCCGTCTCCCCCACCATTGTTCTCTCTCTCTCCCTTTTTTTTTATAATTCCCCACGTCCATTACTTTTTTTTTTCTTCTTTTTTTTCTCTTTTCTCCTTCTCTTCAAATTATCATTGTTTTGTGTGGCGCATATATATTTGGTGCCCCCCTGTACCAATATTTATGTGTTCAAATAAAATAATAAAATAAAATTCTAGTTTCAAACATCTAGTGCTTGATGGTTAATGGAAAACCATGTAATTAAAATAGGTCTATCGGACATCTGCTTATAACACAGCGTTCAAATATCACATCACAATAAATTCCACACTTTTTTCGCTGATAAAATAGTCTCTGAATAAATGAAACACGTACTAACCGCCACACAGTAACCAGTTATGGTGTACTGATATACTATAAATAGATCTTTCGTGTAACGAAAATAGATAAGAACAACAAGAATGATATGAAAGTGAGAATACGAAAGTGTCCAAGTGCGTGAGAGTTGATAATCAAAAATACAGATAACGGTAGCTTCTGCATTGATAAATGGCCGAAAGTTCATCCTTTTGATCTTCGAACATGATGAAGAGCAAAAAAGATTAATTATAGAGTAGTGTCAGTTGTAGGAAGCAATTACATACAGTTGAATTTCTCAAATAGTTGCTTTGATAATCATCTCACTCTTTCAGGAAGCTCAGTAACAACAAACCTGTAAAAAGCAGGCTAGATAGATGTGTAAATCAAATATTCGCTTCAGGATAAATTTCGGAACGGATGTTTATTGACTTCAAACTGTAGTCGTATTTCTTGACTTCCAAGTTTCATTTGATTTAACAGTTTTTATAGCAGTATCTGTCATTGTAAAGTGTCCCCAAAAAATGTAAGCGAAGCTACTGAGGGCTCTTTAGTTAAACACTACTTAAGGAATTTGAGGTTGAACTGTCATCTACTATCGTAACCAATGGTTGGAGACTAGATAACATGGATCAGAATCACTCACAATGGCGTAGGTATGTATACTCTTTGTCTCCCCTTAAGCCTTGAGATTAAAATTAATAATTGAAAAATTCCCATTATTTGTTAAAATTACTTTATACTTGTTCTCTACAAACTAGTTCTTTGCTTCTGTATTATATCCTTATGCAATCTTTCTTTTATATATTACTACCATTAAAGTAACTATATGAATTTAGTGTTCACCTTGTTCTGCTAATGAAGTGTGGCAACTTGGACCGATACATATATATGCCCGGTCCTAAGTTGTAGCTGACTGACTGAGCTGTCATCTTAATTGGCAACGTCAATTGGTGTTGATCAAAGCTACCCATTTTGTCAGTCTTTTCATAAAAATGCTTTTAAAGGTAACATTGTTCATCTGACTTTGGAGCTTAATCCTCTATCAGAAGATTCACTTAGCTAAGAAAATTTAATGAATGTTCAGAACAATAAATTCATTTCAAGATTATTTTGTTTAATTGTATTTAGTTGCTTCTTTTATTATTAAGACTAATAATAGCCACTGGATTGAGAATATTTTACACTAATAATTGAAGCAAAGTAACTTCAAACTATACATCATTTAACTTATGTTTCTTTCTAGCTGAACTATGAAATATAAATAATATTAAGCAATGAATATGTAAATAAATAACAATAGATATATTCATCATGATAGATGTTGTTACAGTAAGAAATCCTCAGCATCACTTGTGCATTATTGCAATGAATTTCTTTAAAACGTGTATTCGGATTTTCACTTATTCAAAAATTAGATCTCGAACAACGTCACTTTTGTAAAATATAAATTGTAATGGACACCTAACCAAGTCAAAAGTAATAATAAATGCTTCGCTTTATGACGATTTAGTTGAGTTCCAACTGCTCTCATAAAATATAAATTAGTTATCTTGGATGTATTTCGACATATCCACTACAAAGCCTTAGTCTAAGGCATGGACTGTCAAAGAGTTGTCAATTTAGACGAGAAATCTGATCATTTTAGACGTCTTCTAATAGCTATGTTTAGTCCAAGTCACGTAGTAACGATTGAATAGCATTCTCAGTAATTTTTCCCACTTTTTTTAAATTCTCATTTTAGGTTTGGTTAACCATAGCATTACTAATCAATCGTCTACTTTATTTGAATTTGGGCCCACATTCCAAATCATTATGTTCACAACTTGAATCCGTGAAAATCGTAATAGCGGTGTTTTTCCTATGTATTGCTTATATGGGATGCAAATTTTTTGAATATACTTATGTGGAATATCCAGATAAAAAGGTTGTACGTGTTTTACTCACTCAACTTGGCAAAACGGAGATGTTTCGGTAAATCGAAATGAATATTCACTTCATTTGTTAGCTCTAAAGAGTTTTTTTTTTCAAAACTAAAGTTTACAGCGCTTCTTACGTAATTTTTTGATTTGCTACTTAGATTATATTTTCAAAATTATAAGTGCCTTGTCATATTTTGACACGTTGTGTCTTCTAAATGAATATATTTCATAACTTTGTGAAAATATTTTGTAGTTAATACACAGGATTAACGCCCCCAAATTCTCTGGTACGACCGAAGGTTGAGAGAGTTAGCACTCCCTCTCAAAATAGTCTCACATGGCCACGCGTATACAATCACTGTCAGGGAATTCCTACTCACTGCCTTTACGCGACGGTGTTGTTTACGAAATTGAGAGGATGAAAAGCGAATGTTCGGCGCTTTAACTGGGTTAGTGGATATGGAGGATCCGCCTTGGAGAGTGGGTAAACCCTGATTCCAAACCAGTGGCTACCCGGGCAGTATCACAGCCCACACACAAATCAAGTGACTTGTGTGGCACATATGTATTCGGTGCCCCTTTATACCAATATTTATGTGTTCAAATAAATAAATAACGCCTCATATTTATTATCAGTGGTAGTTGCTTGTAGTCTTTTCTTTCAAAGTCTGCACAACGAATGATTCAAGCAAATTGAAGTGCTTATACATCGCTAAAATGTATTTCGGACTATTACTAAGGGAATTCATTAAAACAGTTAATACTAATACCTTGTATTATATCAATTTGATTATCCATGAGGAGACTAAAAACATTGAAATTTCAAAGTGGGCGTTTTCATAGCCTTTTATAATGAGTGACTTATGTTAGACCATTGTCTTCAAAATGCTTTTAAATTTTTTGTGTACTATCAAAAAACTTAGTATTTATAACTGTGAAAATGATGCATTTCAAGAAAATTTTGTTTTTCACACAAACTGAGAATGAACGCATAACCTTTCACACTAAATAAGATAACTAGAACTTCAAAAAAGAAATATGTTGAAACGATGACAAATTGAAGTTTCATAGCAAAAGTAAGACTAGATGTATTTAAAACAAGTCAATATATGTTGTATTTCGATGTTGACTTTCATAAAGTGATTTTTTACAGAGATCTGGGGTGTTAACTCCAAGAAAAACTTTAACAGACATTCAGATCTGTTATTATTGACGAGCAGTACATGCACAAAACTTGATCTCTTAATTAGTTAAAGGCTACTACTCTATTATTATTGTGACATCCAGTTAATTACGAACTAAGTAGCAAAAGAAAGCAGAAAAGTCATTTAGATTGATCATGATAAAACAATGTATCGAAGAATATACACGTGTTATTATTACACGGTTAATGTCTTACTACTATAGTAATCAAGAAATGTGCGAAACGAAATGAGACAACAATATTGTAGAGAATTAGAAGATAGAGATGGCAATTTTAATAGATTTGAAATTGAAGGGTTTATCAAAACTTAATTGAAATAGATTTCTTTTAGTCAAGAAACTCCACTCCACTGTTTATAAACAGCACAACAAAAAGCAATTGTGGGATTAACATTGGCTTGTTATGAGGCGTCATAACTTCTGAAGTTACCTAGTTGGGTGATTTTTGTGAAATTATTTAGGAAGCCGTAATTTGCTAACAAATACAGACCAGACAGGACTGTTTTTTATTCTAGTGTCTTGTCATAAATTAGCTTTCTGCTTTTTCCATCCATCCGAAATTTTACATACGCGTCATTAAGTGGTTAGTGAAAATGATTGATCATTGGATTTCGCTAGCTGAGCACTTCAGTTCAGCCATTAAACAAACTGATACCACACTGATGTTCAGTAGGTCTATTGTTTAGTTTTTGTAGGTTGAATATTTCCTAGCACTCAATTTTAGTAAGTGTATATTCCCGAAGAAAATCATGGTCATTATATCTCCGAATTCACATCGTCAGTCTCTTTGTAGTGGAGTGCATTCAAGTGTTCAACAGTTGCTTGTAAAACTGGATTTGTATCCCAACTTATAACGGATACTAGTTAAATAAACTCATAATTAACAAGCCATACACAAATAGTACAAACAATCGAATTCTTGTTTAGTAATCAAATCTTTTTTAATGTTTTAAAAAAGGGATATAATGGATAATTGGTTAAAAGTTCCACTTGAAATGTTTTTACCGTATTTGGCTTGTGGATTGCTAATAACAACTATCGTTTTAAAAATGGTAAATTTACATACATCAAAGTGGAAGGCTGTAGCTAGCTTATGCAATGAAACTGCTTGTGCGTGTGTCTGTCGAACAGGTGTCTGTGGTAATGAATGTCGTGAAGGTGTAAAATCTGACGATCTATCTAAATCCTGGTCATCTGATTTTAATAATCAAGAAAAATCTGGAAAAGTAACAAATGCAAAACAGTCTACTCCTAACAAGAATGATGCCTTTCAAAAATCATTTACCAGTACCAATCGTAATAACGGGAATTTCACAAATTTGGATCCAATTGAACAGGAATTAGCCTATCTTTTCTTTCAGTTGCCTCAATTAGACGAAACACGTGAAAATGCTAATGTTATAACAGCAGTTTGTATTGGACTAATTTTGTTGATTTGTAAAATCCCAAAATTTCTACTACACGTAATTTCAACCGAGAATTACATCACTTATGATCCAGAAGTATTTAGAATGATAAACCAATTATTGGATACGATGTTTGCAGCTTGTAAACCAGTGATCTGTATACTAGTCGGAGCACATTATAGACAAGCTTTAACAACACCCTCAACATGTTGTCTACCCAACGATACTAATATTAACACCACTACAACTACAACAACAACTACTGTTACTAACATTAGAGGTGATGCATTGATAATTGAAGACAATAATCATGAAGCAATAGTGAATAAAGAGGCAGCAAACTACCAGTCAGTTATTACACACCAACCAGAATGAGGTCAGTTAATACTAAAAATGACACATCCAGGTAATTAAAACTATTATAATCATGAATTTAACTGATTATATGATAAAAAACAACTAAAGCATATTTGTTAGTTTATTTCTCTTGATTATATACTATTCACTTAATTTAGCATTGATTCATGTGACGTGAATTACATAACTTACCTGAAGTCATTTAGTCATATTTCTTTTTGTTGCCATACTAGTCATATAATCAACACAGATTTGCTGTTGTTTTCTTCCTTATTTGATTTATCACTTTTATTCTGATCCTCTAGTCCATTTTATTTTGTGATTTTAAAAGGATATGTACGTTTTTACTGTCCTGTGTTTACATGATTTTATTGCTAATTTCAATTATTATGGATTTATATTTGATAACTATTATTTTCTATTAGCAGACAACCAATACAAAAATGGACCGTTTTCTATTTAGATTACATCAGCCAGTCAGCTGCAACGTAGGACCAGGCATATATACGCATCGGTCCAAGTTGCCATACTGCATTAGCACATCAGGTTTCTGCGTTCAAGAAAGTAAAACACCACTTCCCTCCTTGAATAATTTATTTATTTCAAAATAGCCTATGACAGGCCATGCACTCCCCTCTCAACACCTCATCTACCGAAATTCTAGAACATAGACAATACTAATGATGTAACTGTCTGACTAATGTAACATAGTCGGTTTATATGTAATCTCTTGAAAATAAAACTTAATGATTTACTACGACGCTCATGAAGAATTTTTTAACTAGTGTATTTGATACGTCAATTCATGTTCGGAAAAATTAGCATTTTGCTAGTTATTCTGAAGCTTTATTCTAGCCAGCATAGCACAATGGTGAAAAATTTAATTACCAGGAGTTTTAATCTTATTACAGCGGAAGAACACCAACCAACTGAATCGAATGTAATATTGACTATACAAATGCCCTAGTTTTTAAAGAAGATTGTTAGAAATCGACGGAAAACCAAGTTAGAGTGTATACCGAAAGAATGAAAGAACCCTATGGTCATCCCATACAGTAAAGAAACACCGGAAGCAATTAAGGGGATTCTAAACAAACATAATATAAGAGTTTATTTTCGGATCAATAATACCATAAGATCAGCGTTAATGAAAGTTAAGGATAAGTTTCCAAATGACGAACAGCAGGATGTTGTTTATGAAATTAGTTGTCATAATTGCAATGCATTTTGCATGGGAGAAACATCTAGACAGTTGAATGTAAGGTTGAAGGGACGCAAACAGTATTTGAAACATGTCTCCAAATCCTCAGTTGATCTAAAGAATAGGTCGGCGATAGCGTTATATATACGTTATAAACAAGTTCAACTTCAAAGGGACCAAAATACTTCAGAAAGGGTTGGGCTGGATAAAAATCATGACTAGTCCTTTTCACACTGCTATAATGTTGCCTAGATTGACACACCAAATAAAATATATAACATCCTGTCATGGATCTTCTACATGTTTACTATTTCGGCTAATATATGATCATTTCATTAGTTCGTTTCTTTACATTACAAAAGCCATCATATCTACCATGTGAGCCTTATTTGAGTCATGAATATACCAACTAGTACATGAAGAGGCATGGAGTTCCTAGTCTAAAGCTCGAATCGACAAACATAAATGAGAGAAAACGTTTGAACAGAAAATAATTTTATTTGTGATCTGTACACTATAACAATCAATTTAAAGCATGCTAATATACAATCATGAGCAAAATGCATATAAAAATGTGAATGTTTGGTGGTAGTAGAATGATATGAAAAAAGTACTGTACGCATAATTAGGTTCAAACAATTTTTGTACACATTTAAGCAACACTATAACAACCGAAATTACTTTGATATATACGACTTTCAGATTCCAATTGATTCAATAAATGCTTTAGTGCATTTAAGGTTATGCGTGTTAATTGCAAATTATCAGGAAACGACCGTTGTCGAATACTGTGCAGTATATTATTCAGTGATATTTCTTTATTTATGCCTAAAAATGAAATAAAAAGTAGAAGTTTGATATAGCACTTAGAAAATTGTGGAATAATTGCTACTTGGTAAATACTCGCCTGCATTTCCTGAAAAATTTTCATCTAATAGTTTAATTAGATATATATGCATATCAAATAGCCTACTGTGAAAGAAAACAAACCGGCTTCCAGCTAGAGGAAATTAGGAAAGACGCTGGAGGTGGGTAGGGCATATATTGCGGAAATCATCAGACTGCCTCATGAGACAATCCATAAGTTGAAATCCTGAAGGAAGGAGGAAAACCAAGGAACACGTTGTGTCGAGAAATGGAAGCAGACATCAAAAGGATGAATAGCAACTGGGAAGGATTGCCCAGGACAGAGCTCGATGGAGAATGTTAGTGGGTGGCTTGTGCTCCTACACGAGGGGCAACAGGCGTAATTAAGTAAGCATATCAAATACGTCGATTACCTTCGCTGGATTAGAAATTCGGTTACAAGCAATCTCATATCAGAATGAAATCCGAACCAAATCATGTATACTGTTATCTATAGGGCTTAATTTGCTACCATATGTATATTTCATCGAGAAACTGACGTCCAGATGTTTTGTTTAACTGTATAAATCGAAATAGAATATAAATAATCCTTTTTACTTAACGACTGAAGAATATATTTGTGGTCGATGGAAAAAGTACGGATTTTGTGATGGTAGATTTTCTTATGACTCAGTTGCTTGGAATCCATATGCAAAGTGAAGTGGTGAAAGCAATAAAAGTACATGTAGAAAACTTTTTTATCACAATAATAGACGAGAAATGGATATCGAACTTAGTTATGTATATTGATCAAATGCAAAGAAGTCTGTTAATTCATTAAATGCTTTAAACTCTAATATTAGAATCACTGTCTGAGGTTTACATGAATCACAAAAAACCCTTTCAAGTATGATTGAAGCAAGTAATAGAACAGTTATATCGACTTTGTGGAAAGCTGTCTCAGAATGAAACAAAATGATGTAACTCATAAATAGTATAAAATTGACTATCGTAATGAGCAGTACAAGCTATTCTGGAATTTGTTATACAGATAAAAACCTTAATCAAGATAAAATATTTAAAAGTGATTGTCATACATGATAACAATAATCACCATTTTATTACGCAATTCCAATTACATTCAATGATCTATTGACTGATGATTAACAACATAAAAATTACAATGCATGCGGAAATTACCTTGAGAGAAAATTATCCCGTAAACAACATCGAGTAATTTCTGATTCTCTTGAACAAACTAAAATTCAGTGAATTTGTAAATGATAAAAATTTACTTATTACAAACAAATTAGCCGTTTATGAACATTAAAACCGAAACCCTACGCTAGTCAATTATTGAGTACAAAATAGTGATTGCTTTATCCAATGCCATAAATTTAGAGTAAGGAATTCTCAGGAAAAATATGGAATATTCCAATAAATTTCAGTTTATAATCTATTTAACTTGTTGATAATCAAGACATACTTTTATCTTAGATTGAGCTAACTCCGATTTGATCTTATCATGATGTTAAGGAAATATACATCCCGGCTACTGTCGTATTTTAATTATCGACTTAATTCGCGTTAGGGAATAACGGAATGAAATAAGTCAAATACGAGAATAATTTTTTGATACGTATATTTCATACACAGACACAGTCAGAGAAACGAAGAAGCAGACCGGAGAAGGAAAATGTGCCAACTCGTTTTGATAAAGCATGACTCAATACTTGTAACCAGACAAAAATAAGCTGAAGACATGTGATGTACATGGTAAGCGATACACACATGCGTTCATATAAAGATGGTCAATGATATAGGTGAGTAATTGACATCGTCATAATGTAACTCAAAAAGAATAAGTAGAATGGTCTACAAGAAAGCTAGAATAATCCATATGGGTTTGGCATAGTACTAGACACTATAACACCTTGAAAGTTTTCAACAGTGATTGACCGCTATTCATCTTCAATAAAGTTTTGTGGACGATTTTTACTGTTCGAATGTCATTCTGAGAACATTGGTACTTTGGTTAGGTAGAGCGTGGACTTGTACGTAGTAGTAGTTGAGTTGCATTTTAGTATTTTATATCGAAATTCCTAGACTATGCGAACTTTTAATTGTTTTCGTGGCCGAAATGATACAAAGGATGAACATCGATAACATTAATCCAACCATCTATATGTAAAATGATAATACTAATGATCATTTCTCGGCAAACAGATGTCAGTCGACGTACAAGTAATCATAGAGATGAATCAAAGTGGATCCATAGTACGTTCATTTTTCTTAACACAAATTGACGAGAATACAAAAATTAATGAGGTAAATAAATTGTTAACACTACAAAATAACTATTGCTAAGCGAGTCACTCTGTTTTTGTTACTGAAGTTTGATGGTTCCAACAGATCGGTCACCGTATCATGTTCAACGTTCAGTTGATAATTGTAGGTACCTCAATTGCCCTTTTTGTCACATATTTGTGACAATCAGCTTTCAAACAATGAATCATACACTAAAGTACTACTTTCAAATATCATTTCTAATAATGCAGAAAAAACAATATGCATGACTTATTGTCTACCAGAATCTCAGTTTTAACTATTTAAAACTTTACAAAAAAACTTACATAATAAGTTCGCATACCCCCAATAGATTGAGTAGCTGGAAAAATCCAACCCTCAATTAATAATCGTTCAATCAAACTTGCAACTATAAGTTGTAGCTTTTTAGGATTGAGTACGTTATTCTCAGTTGCACTTTTCTGCTCACCTTCATCAACTTCAATGAAACTTTGTCGAAGATAATCCGTTTCAGTTTCATCATATGCCTTAGATTATCAATGAGATAAAAAGAGTGCAAAAATGCAATTTAACAACAGAAAAGAATGATGGAAAGGTAATTAATCAATTTATGTACAAATATAGATATCAGGGGGAAAAGTTATATGAACGTACCATTGAGAGGATTAGTAGTACAGACCGTAGAATATCTCAGGACATGCATTAAAGCCGTATGAAACTAGAAATCTATATTCACTACAACCAATAACTAATTAGATTTTATTTGAATTTACAACAGTGACATCACATGAAAGTGTAAACAAAATAGCAATTCGATAGTATACAATTTTTAGGTGAAGAGTTTGCTAATTAAACATACATTGTTAGCAAACA